ACCCTGACATTACCCTCATCGAGACCTTTCATTTGAGTACTCATTTGCATTTTTGATATATTTTATATATTTATATATATTACATATATGTATATATGAAAAATATATCAAAAATGCAAGTGAGTACTCAAATGGAAGCTCTTGATGAGTGTAACATCGGGATGAGCTTATATCTTCTAAAATGTTAATAATTAAGAAATAACCTTGTATCTTATCAACTATTGACATTTTTAAAGATATGAGCTCACCCTGACATTACACTCATCGAGACCTTTCATTTGAGTACCCACATGCATTTTCATATATTTTATATATTTATATATATCACATATATGTATATATGAAAAATATATCAAAAATGCAAGTGGGTACTCAAATGAAAGCTCTTGAAAAGTGTAACATCAGAATGAGCTTATATCTTTAAAAACGTCAGTATTTAAGAAACTACACTACAATTTTACAAAATTCATTATTTAATAAATCAAAATTTTATTTATTTATAGTTCACAAATCACATAGTAATTGCAAGGTTTCTAATTTCATTCAACTAAAAATAATAATAATAATTTATTATTTTTTATTTTTCACTCTAAAATTGATAAACAAAAATTTAGCTCAATATTCTAAAATCAAATTTTTCTAAATGATAAATTATTTAAAGTATAAACTAGCAATTTGTTTAGATTAAGCTCAGTATATTCACTCTCAATTTTTTACAGTGCAAAAAAAACAGTATAAAATCATAAATGATGCACATTTAAATTTTTAATAACTTCGCTTGGACATTTCGTTAGTGAAACGTTAAAACTCAGTAAATTGGTAATTAGATATATACTCACCAGTGTTGGTATTCGAAACCGAATTAACGGATGCTGATTGTGACATTTGCATCTGCATTGACATTTGACTATTTCCCTGCATTACCAGTGTCTGCTGTTGATGCTGTTGAGACAATAACTGTTGCATCTGTGAGTTATTGTTCATCGCACCACCACTCATCCCGGTACTTTGTGACCGTATCAGCTGCTGATGTTGCATTTGAGTGGCGTTCATTTGCATACCACCACCGGTACCAGCACTCATACCAAAACCACCTTTAATAAAATTTATCCATTATAAATTATAATTCCCATCGATAATATTAATACTAATATCTATATATATTTTAATCTCATATTAAATCCACTATCATAATTCATAATTCATAATCTATAATTAATACCGCAAATATATCCCATGACAATTAACAATTAATTAAATCAAACTAAGTGACTTGACAATTATAGATAGGATGATTAGTGATTACCTTGATGGGTTTGTTGACTAAATTGCGGACGCATCTGCGCTTGAAAGCCCTGTTGCTGCATGAGAATATGTCGCCATTCTTGCTGTGTGCCACGGCCGCCGATATTATTACCTAGACCTTCTGGTGGACCAACACTAACATTCGGCGGTCGCTGGTTATTCGTCCTTGGGTATCCTAATCTCTGATGCATCTGATGCATGTTATTAATGGACATGCCACCACCGACGTTGCTCATGTACATGTTACCGCCGGCGTGTAACGCTTGTTGCTGTTGCTGTTGTTGCTGCTGTTGCTGTTGCTGCTGTTGTTGGGCTATTGGTGGCCTCATCATTGGTCCTAGTAATTTTATTATTTATTATTATTATTTTGCTTCTTTGCTTCTTTGTAATAAAATATATTGTACCGTTTGAAGACAATTAAAAAATTATACTGCTGGGAAGTAATCTATATATAGTTAAGAAAATAAGAAAAATTTTGTGAAGAAATGACCTTGTATCTAGTAAAGTATTGACATTTTTAAAGATATAAGCTCATCTTGATGTGATACTCATCGAGATCTTTCATTTGAGTACCCACATCAATTTTTCATATATTTTATATATTTATATATATTACAAATATGTATCTGTATGAAAAATATATCAAAATCCAAGTGAGTACTCAAATGAAAGCTCTTGATGCGAGTAACATCAAGATGAGCTTATATCTTTGAAAAAGTCAATAGTTGAGATATTACAGCGCAATTTAACGAATATCTTGTGAAACATTGACATTTTTAAAGATATAAGCTCATCCTGATATTATACTCATCAAGACCTTTCATTTGAGTACCCATATCAATTTTTCATATATTTTATATATTTATGAATATTACATATATGTATATATATGAAAAATATATCAAAATGAATGTGGGTACTCAAATGAAAGCTCTTGATGAGTGTAACATCAGAATGAGCTTATATCTTTAAAAATATCAATATTTAAGAAAGTACAGTCAAATTTAACAAACGTCATTATTTAATAAAGCAAAATTTTATTGATTCATAGTTCACATAGATACTGTAAGGTTGCTAGTAGAATTTTATTTACTGATGTCAATTTTTTTATTTTCTAGAAAATATTAATATTTTTTATACGGTTTTAATAATTTAATTATTCATAATAATAATTTAATTGTTCTAAAATTGTAAAAAATTTTCTAATGTTTGTAAATTTCAGTGTTATAATTTTTTGAATAAAATTATTAATTTATATAATTAAAAAAACTTTTATCCAGCGAATTTTTTCATTTAAATATTTCATAATTTTTATGAACTATTCTTTGTATCATAAATAAATTAAAAAAAAAAAAATATAATTAATAAATAAATTTACCCGAAGGAGGCATAGGTTGCTGCGAAACTCTTCTTATTGAACCTTGATTAGGAAACCTTGCTTGTTGACCCATGCCAATACCAGCATGCATCATTTGCGCTTGTGCTGCTTTGTACTCAGGCGGTGGTGGTCGTACGCCGCCCATTCCACCTGCCAAATGCTGCTGATGTTGCATTGCCTATTAACACAAAAATAAATCTTTGTAATTTATCACTTATTATTATTATTATGTTTATTACTATCATTGTTGTACTTATTGAGTAGGATACAATGCCCGCTCGGTAGTGTCTGGTATTAAACAAATATTTATGGAAGAATATAATGCAGTAAGAAAGTGTTACACCGATAGGGTATCGTTAACTGCCGGATGCTTACACACCTACTAATAAAATCCAAACGTTAACACGTAGTAATGTTAACATTAATACTAATACTAATACTAATAATAATAATGATAATAAAACAAATAAAAAAATTTCCATTCATTGTCCGCAACCACTTGCCTCTTCGTGCATGAATCCGTGCTCTTTCTCAAGTCAGTGTGTATACATGTGTCTCTTTTTAGTAAGTTCAATTGAACAAAAGTTGCCAAGACTTAACAACACAGGAAAAGAAAGAGAATACGACAGAAAATGTATATACCTGTTGCGCACACACTTTTCACTTCAATAATGTTTATATTCAATTTTTATTATTATTATTATTATTATTATTATTATTATTATTAATATTAAGATTTGAGGCTGTTAAGTAGTAATAACAAAAATAATGATAATAAAATAATAATCTATATCATTGAAAAAATAAAAAAAAATTTTGTTTCCAAGATAATCATGATTATGAAAAAATGTTTTTTTTAGTGAAATATTGACATTTTTAAAAATATAAGCTCACCCCGACATTACACTCATCAAGACCTTTCATTTGAGTACCCACATCAATTTTTCATATATTTAGTATATTTATATATATTACATATATATGTATATATGAAAAATATATCAAAAATGCGTGTGTGTACTCAAATAAAAGCTCTTGATGAGTGTAACATCAGAATGACCTTAAATCTTTAGAAACTTAAATATTTAAGAAATTACGTTGAATGTTGTGAACTATTGACATTTTTAAAAATATAAGCTCATTCCGACATTATACTCGTCGAGACCGTTCATTTGATTACCCACATCAATTTGTCATATATATTATATATTTTATATATGAAAATATATGTATATATGAAAAATATATCTGAGATGCATGTGGGTACTCAAATGAAAGCTCTTGATGAGTGTAACATCAGAATGAGCTTATATCTTCAAAAAAGTCGATAGTTAAGAAATTACAGTGCAATTTAACAATTATCTTGTGAAATATTGACATTTTTTGGGATATGAGCTCACTCCGACATTACACTCATCGAGACTTTTTATTTGAATACCCACATCAATTTTTCATATATACATATACATAATATATGAATAAATATATGAAATATATGAAAATTTGATGTAGGTACTCAAATGAAAGGTCTCGATAGGTGTAACTTCGGGATGAGCTTATATCTTTAAAAATGTCAATATTTAAGAAAGTATACCGCAATTAAACAATTATCTTGTAAAATATTAACACTTTTAAAAATATATGCTCACTCCGACATTACCCTCATCAAGACCTTTCATTTGAGTACCCACATCAATTTTTCATATATTTTATATATTTATATATAATATATATTATATATATGTATATATAAAAAATATATAAAAAGTGCATATGGGTACTCAAATGGAAGCTTTTGATGAGTGTAACATCAGAATGAGCTTATATCTTTAAAAACGTCAATATTGAAGACATTATTTAATAAATCAAAGTTTCATTTATTTATAGTTCACAAGTCACGTTAGTCACACAGTGACTGCAAGACTGCTAGTAATGATAATAATAAAACAAAAAATAATTAGATAAATTTCAATATCACCAAAAACAAATTAAAAAAAAAAAATACAAACCTGTTGAGCACGCATCATCTGCTGCTGTTGTTGCTGCTGAACAAGCTTAGCATGTTGATGGGGATCAACTTGGTTATTGGGTACTTGTTGTGAATGATTTCTAGGTGCTGGAGCACCGGGTCCAGGTTGTCCCGGAACACCACCAGCAGCAGCTCTTTGCCTCAGGCTTTGCTGAGTGAAATTGATTGTCTGGGACTGGGATACCGAGCAGTATGTGTCTTGTTGTCCCGCGGATGTTTGATTTTGGGTTTGGTTGAAGTACATGCCCTGTTGAGCTGCCACCGACACGCCGGGCTTCAAGTCACTAGTTAATTGCATATGTTGCCCTGCCGACACCTGAAAGTAAGTAAACAACAAAATAAATCACTTTATTTTTAGAATAATTAATGTATTTACAGTAAAATTTTATCGACCAAAAAATTACAAATAAATTATTAATTATTAATTCGGTATCTCGAGTACTCCCAGTGAGTCACCGACAGTTTCAAGGCTTCAACTAAAAATAACTCCAATGTTCTTGAGTCAATAAGTGAGTTTTAATTTTAGTCACTTAAACACTTGATTTTAAATCTTATTTTTTTTTGTCTAATAATATTTGAATTTATTTACAAGATCTGTGATTATAATTACAATTATAATTATAGTAAATAATTACTATAGAAATTGTCATTTAAATTACAATGAAGATTGAGGTTAAGAAGACGATATGATGGAGTTATGACACTGAAATTGACAGACATTAAAAATTTTTTTATAATTTTATAGAAAAAAAATTATTTTGAAAAAGTTGACAAGATGTAATGTAATTTCTTAAATATTGACGTTTTTAAAGATATAAGCTCATTACAATGTTACACTCATCAAGAGCTTTCATTTGAGTACCCACATTCATTTTTGATATATTGTTCATATGTACATATATATGTATATATATTTAAATATATAATATATAAAATATATCAAAAATTGATGTGGGTACTCAAATGAAAGGTCTCGATGAGTGTAACTCCAGGATGAGCTTATATCGTAGAAAATATCATCCGTCGACAAAATATAAGGTCATTTCTAAATTATTGATATTTTTTAAGATATAAACTCATCCCAATGTTACACTCACCAAGAACTTTCATTTAAGTACCCACATGCATTTTTGATATATTTTTCATATAATTGTATATATAATATATATAAATATATAAAATATATAAAAAATTGATGTGGGTACTCAAATGAAAGGTCTCGATGAGTGTAATGTCGGGGTGAGCTTATATCTTTAAAAATATCAATATTTCACAAGATATTTGTTAAATTGCACTGTACTTTCTTAACTATTGACCTTTGTAATGATATAAGCTCTTCCTGATGTTACACTTATGAAAAGCTTTTATTTGAGTACCCACATGCATTTTTGATATATTTTTCATATATACATATATATATATAATATATATAAATAAATAAAATATATGAAAAATTGATGGGGGTATTCAAATGAAAGGTCTCAATGAGTGTAACATCGGGATGAGCTTATATCTTTAAAAATGTCAATAGTTCACACGATAAAAGGTCATTTCTTATAATTATGTGTTTTAAGATAGAGCATTTTCGAATGCAGCCTAATGTAAAATTATAAAAAAATTTCTAATATCTGTCAACTTCATTGTCATAAAAATTCGCACATATTTTTTTAAATAATTTATTTTTAATAAAAATAAAAAAATTGACAGTTATCAACTAACTTGAGTATCATGATGGAGTAACATATAATATAGCAAGATGAAACGTTAATAGTCTTTAAATAAATCTATATTACACATGGGATCTACGGACGCTGACCTCAACGTAAGTAAGCCCTCTTTACTCAGTGTATTTGTACCTACACTTTATTTAACACCCGAAGAACATAACAAGTGTATAAAGATTTAGCTAAGATCAAAATCATGTCCGACAAGTTATTAGAAGGATAAATTTTGACGCTCTTGCTTTAGCCGAATTTCTTTTCTTCTTTTTTTTACTAATAAAATATGATTTTTTTTTAGGTTAACTGGAGCCGTTGCAAAATCAGTCTCGTAAAACGAAATGTGTGTATTGCGTAATGCAGTCTTATGGTGGCATGTATTGGATATGTATATTGCATTGAGTATTGAGTGAATAGTGAGTATTGAGGGGCTCGGGGTGGTTAAGTGTGTGTTGGAGAAGGCAAAGAGTGGCTGCTGGCTGTGGCTGCCCGATATCGATTTCCGATAGCGGGCATTTAGTGCTCTGTATATTCTGTCTGCTTCCATACGTGTCTGATACGCGAATGTATACATGTACTATCCATGATCAACGGTAGGGCATTTGAAATTGCATCCCAGCGCCATGTACAAGGTGTTGCAACCACCCGAAGTGATTGCTTTTTTGAGTTTTTAGATGAGAGTATGCTAAATTTTTATTACGCCGGCTATTCTGGATGCGTTTTACAGAATTTTTATCAATAATATAAAATATTCACTTAAAAAAAAAGATTTATTGATTAAAATTTGTCTATATTTACAGAATTGACTCATTAGTTACCACAAAATGAAGTTTATCATCAATTTATTGAAGAAATAACGCCAAAAACACTGTTAAAACCTCTCGAGTCTAAGATTGTCAAGATGGCGGCATTAACGTGTCAAAATGGCGCTCGCGCATGTGCAGAAAAAGTTATATTAATTAAAATTTGTCTATTTTTACAGAATCGATTCATTAATTGCCGCAAGATCAAGTTTATCTTCAATTTATTGTAGAAATAACGCCGAAAACACGATTGAAATCTTTCAAGTCTGAGATTATCAAGATGGCGGTATTGACGCGTCAAAATGGCGCTCGCGCATGCGCAGATGAAGTTATATACTTCTTAAAAAGAATTCTAACTAAAAAATTGTTACTAAATATGAATAATTAGTATTTCAGATATATTGTTGATTTCTTCAATAAAACAATGAAAGTAAATTCGATAATTTTTCTTTAAAAACTAAAATTAGCGTCAATTTTTATTAAAAAAAAAATTTTTTTTCAGATAAATAATAATAGCATTCTCTAAAACTCTTGACCAGTAAATAAATATCTAATAAGTTATGAATTAATAGCAATTACAACGCGGAAGAATCATTTAATATAGTAAAGTTAATCCTCATGTCGGATATTTTAAAGAATTTACAGATTTTTTATGAATAATATAAGATATTAACTTCAAAAAAAAGATTAATTAATTAAAATTTTTCTATTTTTACAGAATTGATACGTTTATTGCCGCAAAATCAAGTTTATTTCCAATTTATTGATGAAATAACGTAAAAAACACTGTTGGAAGCTCTCAAATCTTAAGTTATCAAGATGGCGGCATTAACGCGTCAAAATGGCGCTCGCGCATGCGCAAATGAACTTATATGTTTCTTTATAACAATTCTAATTGAAAAATTGATACTAAACATGAATAGTTAATACTCTAGATATATTTTTGATTTTTTATTAATTACTTTCTTAAAACTACGTAAGTAAATTCGATATTTTTCCTTCAAAAATTAAAAATAGCGTCAATTTTTATTACAAAAATTTTTTTTCAGATAAATAATAACAGTAGTCTCTAAAACTCTTGACTAGTAATCAAAGCCCGTAAGTAAATATCTATCAACTTATTAATTAATATGAATTACAATGCGGAAGAATAGTTTAAATGTAACGTTATTCGTCATGTCAGATATTCTAAAGAACTTACAGATTTTTTATGAATAATACAAAATACTAATAAAAGAAAAGATTATATTATCAAAATTTGTCTATTTCTCACAGGATTAATCCATTTATTTCCTTTTAATTGAGTTTATTTTTTATTTATTAAAGAAATAATGTCACAAATATTATTGGAAGCTTTTAAATCTAAGGTTATCAAAATGGCGGCATTGACACGTAAAAATGGTGCTCGCGCATGCGCAGATGAACTTATATACTTCTTTATAACAATTCAAACTGAAAAATTGTAACTAAACATGAATAATTAAATACTCGAGATATATTTTTCTTAAAAAATAAAAAAAAGTCAAGTTTTACTAAATAAAAAATTTTTTTTTAGAGAAATAATTCTAGAAGTCTCTAAAACTATAGACCAGCAATTAAAACCCGTAAGTAAATATCTAATAACCAGTTAATTAATATAAATAACAACGCGGAAGAATAATTAAAAAAAATCCAAGTTATTGGCTAGTGTTTTCTGGTCTACTTGGGATCTGTTACTCGGTCAAGAGTATTTGTCCAAGGGAACAAAAATGTTGGCAATAAGTATGAGTACCGAGTTCAGACTACATACAAATATAATAACCAAAAGCAAGAGTGGGGTAAGTATACCCATCTATACATATATAAAATAAACCCAAGAATTTTATCCGTACAGCAGTAATGTCAGAGTGGTATCTGGATTCTCGGATCGTTGAGGAGAGGAATAAGTCGACACCGCCCAGGCCGCACCTCTCTCTGTACTCTCCAGCAGCTAGTATATAGCATATAGTATATAGCAAGCAGCCTCTCTAGAAGAGCCGCAGCGATTATGAATGCCGGATCATCGACCCGAGGCTCTTGCTCCCTGCACACCAGAACCGTGTACAAACTTGCCCTAGTTTCAGAAGATGCTTCGTCTATCCGTCACTATTTTTCCTCCGGTCCAGATTGATTCCTCAGGTAAGACAATGTTTCCTGACCCATCGATGACCACACAGAAAGAAGAATTTCTTGACTGGAGAACAAAATTCTTGGCTCAAGAAAATTTTCGGGTGTCTGAAGGAAGACCAAAGTTGTGTTATCTCCTCAAATATTGAAAAAATAGCCCCACAGAAAAAAAAAGTTCATTTGAGCCAAGAAAATATTTTTCTTCCTAAGTATTTTCTTGAGCGAAAAAAAATTTTTTTTTTATAAGAAATTTCACTTATTCCAACAAAATTAATTCTCTTGCTTTAAAAAATACGTATCTTGATCCAAGAAAATTTATTTAAGTCAAGAAAATCTTGTTTTGAGAAAATTCAGCCTTGAAGCTCCAAAAAATTTAGTTCTTGATAAAAGTAAATTTTCTTGTATTGAAAAAATTTCTCACTTGCTCTAAAAAATTAAATATAAAGATAGAAGAAAATTTTCATAAATATTTTCATTGATTAACATGTCAAATAGAAAAATCAAATATTTCATCTTTTTTTTTCATTCAATATGTATAATTGCGCGCTAAAATATAAAATAGGTATCAAATATTCTAGAGAAAAATTTTCTTAAGGTGAGAAAATTTTTTTAGCAGCTAAAGCAGGTGGCGCTGCTTCCCTAAAGTATCTAAAA